AACGGCCGTTTATTCGCACGACAAAATGGCCCACACCACGGGTGGGCAATCTTTTCTTGTAAAGGACCACACGTAAATATTTGGGGCTTGCAAGCCTTATGATCTCTCGACTCTGCCACGGTAGCATGAAAGCAGCCATAGATGACATGCAGACGATGGGCAAAGCTGTGTCACAAACTGTCCTGCGGGCCGTGGCTGCCAACCCCTACTCTGCATCTCTAGAACTCCATGTGCAAATAGACAAAAATCTCAAAAACAATGTAGAGTGAAAAAAGCAAGCTGCAAAAGGATAGCTATCTCATGATTCAATGTATGCAAAATAAAACTACATACTTAAACTATTTACGGATACACACGGAGTAAAATCTTGCCGGAATTATCAACGGATGCCATAACTAAGAGGTGAGAGATTTATTAAAAGAAAAAGGATAATAACCTAATCTCAAAGTACCTTACTATAAGATACGTATTAGTTACAGTGAGAGCTAGTCACTTTAGTAGAAATCTGGCAAACGTTACCTTAGCCAAATTATCATGGTTAACCGAGCTCATGATGAAATAAATCAACGTGGTGTGTCTCCGGATAGAACTCACTAACACGGACACAACATCTCAGGTATTTCTGCCAAAAATGCTCAACCTGAATCTAATAATGAGGAAACACTACACAAACTCCTGTAAGGAACATTTCACAAAATAACCGACCTGTACTTTTCAAAAATGTCTCTGCCATGAAAAAAATGAAGACTGAGAAACCGTTCCAAATTAAGGAGGGCCGTTCCAAAATAGACACATGACAGTTAACTGCGACATGTGATCTTAGTTATGACACTGGGATAATCCTTAATATCAATTCTTAATAAGGCCTGCGAATTAGGTAGTAGTATTGTATCGAAATTAGTTTCCTGATTTTCATAATTGTCCTGAGGTTCCAGAAGAGGACATCCTTGATTTTAGGAAACACGTAATGAAGCGTATTGGAGTAAAGGGGAATTAAGTCTGTGACTCACTCTCCGATGGCTTAGGAAATAAACCAACACGCATATGTAAAGAATAATAAAATACTTGCGGTAATATATCGATAGCGAGAATAGAGGTGAAGGATAAATAAATATTCTGTACTATTTCTGTAGCTTTTCAGTAATTCTAAAATAATTTCAAAACTAAAGTTTTAAAAAGGACAATATGAAGTAAAAACGAACATGGCAAATGCTGGCCATTAAATCTTGGTGGGTGGCACATGGATAGCATTTACAATACTATTCTCTACACAGAAAATGTTTCGTAATACAGAGTATGAAAATTAAAAATTTAAAACCCTCATTAACAAAATGTAAAATAAAACAAAGAATGCTGGACTTGAGTTTAACTTAAGTCTGGCGCCCCGGCCCTGCTGCCCACCAGCTGAGACGTGGGGCTCGTCCCTTCACTCTGAGCCCGTTTCCTCAGCACCTCCCTCCTGGGGTGGTTGTGAGGATTCAACTGCATGGTGCGGTGAGTGCCATACGGGTGTAAGAAATGAAAACCAGCCACCCCTACACGGATGGGCTGTAGCTTTCAGCCCCTCTCATACTGCCTGCAAAGCCTCCATGATAACCTAACTTCCCCACAATGTCATTAACACATTAAAACGCCTTGGGTTTAGCACAAGCATCTCCATGACTCATCTCATACCACCTGGCCAACCAGGTCAGCTTAAGGCTGGAGCCTGAATGTTCTTGCGAGAGACGCAAAACTTTGTGTAATTTACTGAGTAAAACAAAGGCGCTTTGAGTAGACTGGAGGCAACGTTCAAAACTTCAAACGTCCCTTTCCCCGCCTTTTTAACCAAGCAATTCTTCAAAATACCTGGCAAACGTCGGCCAGGCAGCATCCAGGTCATAGCCTCTCGACGCCAGGTCAAACTGAACGTCGGTCAGCTCGTAGAGTTGGCCCACAATGTCAGAGCTCAGTCTGGGCTTCAGAAAGGGGCTTCTTGCATAGTACCAGTCACTGCAGGGAGACACAGGGCACCGATCATAGAACTAACACAGGTGAGGCAAGACAGACTTTGTGAATTCATGTGAGTTGAGAACCTCCACACATTTGATTGGAAGGTTATTTTGTTCTAGATGTTTGGTGAAAATTGTCTTCCGATGTATCAGTTCATGGACAACAGCCAGATAGCTCTTCAAAATCATCGGTGTCGTCCTTTTAAATTCTTGCTGCTTCCCGGGAAGTGAAGCGGCCAGTACCCCACAGTGCAGGGCTTTTGTGCCTCGGCTTTAACACTGATGTCACACAGAAATTAGGAGTGAGTGAGTTCAATGTCCTGTCCTGAGCTTTCAGGATGAACAGAAGGTTAGGTTTTCTTTCAGAAAAGGAAGCGTTCTTTTCCCTGTAGCTACCCTCTCCTGGCAAGTAATTGATTTAAGGTTCCTCATATCCTTTTGGGGAATAGATACGGTAGAAATAATAAATAAATAAATATCTAGTTCATTTTAGCAATTTCCTTCAAGAGCAAGCTTATTTGAGAGTTACTTGTTCTTACGGTGAAAATCAAATTGGGGCCCAGGCGGTTGCCTGTGTCTGTTTAACTTGTATAACCCGAGTTAGAAGTGGGTGAGGCAGAGCCATGCTGACCTGACTGACAAAATAAAATAGTTTCACCTAATAGTTTTTTTAAAAAATTCAGAAGTGATCTGATTCACTGGAAGAATGCTCCCTAGGGAGAGGGGAGGCGGAGCTGGAAAAGGGGTGCTGGGCGACCCAGGGTTCACCTGATCGGTATTGATCTGCAGCTCCTAGTCTGATGTCTCCTCCCAGCTCTACACACTCGATCCCACCTCTCCCCCTCCCCGACCCCCACCCTCTTCACCACTAGCAGCACGAAGCCTTCCAAACTGGTCTCCCATCGGTATCTCCAGGGAGCCCAGACACTCCCAGCAGGTCCCGACTCTGTGTCTGGGGTGAGGCTCCAGGTTCCATGGCGTTAAAAACCCCACAGGTGACTCTGCTGAGAGACTAAGGCTATAGCCCACTGGTCCAGAGTGACAAGTGGGGTGGGTCCATTCATTAGCATCAGCACCAAGGAAGGCCCTGCCATCCACCAGGGAAAACTAAGATGAGACCTGGCCCCAAGCTCCTGCTTTACAACTCCGCATGGCTGGGGCCCAGAGAAAGGCATTTCGCTGCTCTGAGCTTCGTCTTCCTCACCTGGAATCACTCCGCGCTACCTGCCCCACACACATAAAGGACTGCGGGGGGGAGAGGCAGGAGGGGATGACAGGTGTGGAGGGGCTTTGCTTGTGCCACGATGCAGCTGCAGTTGTTATTATTAAAGAGTGGGCTTCACCTCCTTGTTGAATGGAATGGGGGGGCCAACCCGCACTTCATGTATTTACCTGGTCACTTTAGTATTCATGAAGCACTGCTGTAAGGTGTCGGCCAACCTCTGGTGCACCAAGGAGTAGCGAATAAATGCTCTTCCTTTCCCCAGAGATGTTCGGAGCTGGAAAAGGTAAATTACACAGAAATGAAGGGCTGTTGGCCTAACTCTTAGAGACCTGGCCTCAAAGACGGCTTGCATAAAACAGAAGCAGGGCAGAAAATGTCACCCAATTCTACCCTACATAGTGGCTTCACTCGTCCCTCAAAGGACACAAAATGTTTGATCAGGTTGTCCCAGAGAGCCGGCCTGAAGTGGGTGGACTTCTTGCATGCTTCCACCCACGAATAACCTGTAAGCTCCAGCAAACAGGTCAAGAAGGGTGTGTTCACAAGAGACTCTCCAACACGTGTGGGTCCCATGCAATGTCATTCATTCTCCCTCCTCTGCTCCATCAGAATCTCGGGGTTTGGAGTCAAAACTGTATGACTGAATCTGGAGTATGTGGAATAAAACCCGGAGGTAAATTAGGGGCTTCTCACTCCAGAACTGAACCTGAGCGAGAGAGGCTCTCAGTTTGGCTGATGTCTGGGCTTGTTTTCTGAGGTGCTGGGAGAAGAGGTACGAGGGAAGAGGCCTCCAGGGCTTGTGAAAGGGGGAGAAAGAGAGGGCAAAGGACAGAGGTGTAGAAAGGGAACGTCTAAGAAATTCGGATGGATGCAGAACTAACCGCCTCCTCTGTGTCCTCATGAAACGATCGATAAAATCCACGTCATCTATCCACACTTTCCTGGTCGGATTTCTTTTCAGCTATACGAATTCTCTGCATTTAGTCAGAAGGTACACAGGGGGTGAGGGCGGCAATGTCTCTAGGTGGCCATCACACTGGGGTGACAAAAAAATGGGCATGGTTCTATTTCAGGAAGTCTGAGGTGGACAGAGGGTACAGGTGCAGGCCTGTCTTCAAAATCTTTCCCCACCATGCCGAAACATGACTTCTAAAGAGGTTTCTGGGAGCTTGCTGTGATGCGGGTGGAGTCTGCTGGTCAGAGATTCTGCCAGCTGTGGACACACGGCCGCCAAGATGGATAGGATCAAGGAAAAAGCCAGAGAAGACACTTGAGACCAGTCTGCAAAGCAGGATTCACACTCCTGACGTTTCAGGCCCAGAAGCGCAGGATCAATAGGCAGGATTCAAAACCTCTCCACTAACATGCACGCCTGTTTCGTCGGGGCTCTGGCCCCAAGTGGGGCCAGGAAAGAAAGACCCACGCCCTCCTCAGCTTTCAGAGGTGGATATCCTACCTGCTGGGTGGGGGAGGGGGCAGCAATGGTCTGGCCGTGAGGATTGCAACCCTCCACAGCACTGACAAACCACCAGCGGCACTGGACTGGGACAGGAAGACACAGCGCAGCCTCAAGCACTGCACCTTAGCTGAGGCGTAAACATCCTGGTGCGCGGGGCCTCCGAGCCCAGAGCGATGGCTGAATCAAGGAAATGATACCACAACATGAAGAAGTTTTCGAAAATAAAAAAGTGTGAAACCTCATGAACTTCAGGGGCTGTGGCACATCTTTCCCTTTGAGTTTTGCGGGTATGAGGCAAAATCAGGGTGCCTAGAAGTGAAGGCAGGTAGGTGGCAGACTGGCCTCTGGCTTTACCAAACTCACTGTGGCGGGTCTACAGACACTCGATCGTGACGGATGCCCAAGGGTCAATCTTGACGATATCCCCGTGTCCAAATACTTTTTCCACTGATGAGTGAGGTGAGAACGAAGTGTTCAGGGGTGATAACTAGGGAACTCAGGTGGCCGAGGACAGCTGAGCTAGGCACTGTGAAGCGAAGTGTGTGAGTCACACAAACTCACCCACGCACAGGCCCCGTGAACTGCGTAAGAACCTCATGCGGCCACCCAGTCCCTAAGGTCCCAAGGGAGGGCTAGTCCTTCTTAGCTAAATGGCCATCGTAACAGCATTTAGAACATTAAATTTTTTAATGGAAAACGTGTCTATATTTTTAATCGGGCCTATTAAGTAAATTCATTAACATATATGTAAAAGGAGCTATTTTAAGAGGTCTTTTTAAACATCGCTTGGGGAAGAGAACGCTAGTTCCTTTGTACTGCCCATGAAAGTACAGCACAACCTTTTTATTTTTTGTTTTTTTGAGATCATGGGTCCGCTTTCATTACCTAATTCCTTAAATTTTTTAGCATGTAATCAGAACTCTCGTATGCACTATACCAGGAAGAGACACAACAGCAGCGAAGGACAGGAAATCCGCAAGGTTCGCGAGAGCCGATTCTGCTTCAAGCCAGGCCGCTGGGCCGGGAGCCTGACGCCAAGCTGCACCCTGGTTCCGATGCCGCCCGTGGTGGTGAAGTGCACGCGGTCCGGGGTGAGGCCACTCTGAACCTTTGGAAGTGGCTGACTAGAGCCGTAGATGTTCAGCCCAAGTGGCTGCCTCACCCCAAACGGACCGGAGGGGCCCAGCAATGCTTCCTACTCGTTAACGTTTACCTTCTGGGCTTGTTAGCCTGGATGGCACTTGATTGTTGACTGAAGTTAACCCAAGTAGCCAGCAGCCCATCTTGACTAGCGACATCCCAAGCCATTCCACTCAGTGGTGCCCCACGGAGCAGTCTTCAGCGGGGATGAGATAACTGGACCCCCCGGGAAGCAGAGCCTATGCCGGCTGCCCAAAACCCAACGACGTCTGTGCAAGCGGGAAATGCTTTTGCTTCTAGAAGTCAGTTTCCCTGGCCTTGGAGTGTCTAAGGGTTTGACTACATTATGAGGAAAGAAGAGGAAACTAGCTAAAAAGTAGACGTGAGCATTTTCCAACCCTGGGCAATGAGGAGTAAACTAAATTTACTTCCAGACTTCAGCTGTTCGAGGTCACGGGGTCGAAGGCTAGGGCTGCTCTGAAGAATGGAAGAAAGGCGTGCCGACGAGAACGCCTTCTAGGTTCGTGGAGAGGACGTGACGACAAGCACCCTCTCTGGGGCTACGACAGGTGAAAGCACTGCTCCACGTCACGATCCTGACTGTTCCGGTAGGCGACATCTCACGAGACCTGCGTGTGCTACATGGACACGAACAGACTCCACACCAGGGTCCGTCCTCATTGTCTCAGATGTCAGACGGTGCAGCCGGTGGGTGCTCAGCCCTCAGTGTCGGTTCAGTTGTCATTCTCTGTGAGAAGCAACCCACCCGGCTCCAGCTGGCATGGCCGGGAAGGAGTTATTCCCAGAGCACCTGACTCTGTGGCCTTTTGGGAGGCCAGCCCAGGATCACGTCTGCTGACTTAAAGTGATTCCAATCTTACTGACAAGATACTGAAAAGAAAGGTGAAATGTACGAACCCTTTAGGCCTCCTGCCCTAAATCTAGGGGGTTACTTGCTCCCTAATGTGCAAAGTTCTTTACTCTCAGATGGACTAGGCTTATGGGGGGAGGGGGAAGGAAAGGAGGGAGGGAGGGAGAGAAAGAGAGAGACAGAGGAGAGGAGAGGGGGAGAGAATGAATAAATGAATGTGTGTTTGTTTTGTTCTGGAGATTTTTACAACAGCAAAGCCATGGCATTCTGCTCTCGAGGGGCTCAGAACTGAACGTGGGAAGCTGCTTAGCATACCAGCATTTTAAGAAATGACTCTCAAGATCCCACATCACTCTTTTCATTTCGAATGCAAGTTTTCTGGGCAAACTGTAAGGAAAACAGCTTGAAAAACTTGAAGAAGCCTATCCCAATTTAACAAGGTGGAGTGCTACACCCCTCCTGGGGGCACCATGAGCAGCCCACAGAGTGAACAGCCCACCCTGAAGGTAATGTGTGGGTTGTGGTCTAGTGACAGAGCCAGGGCTGAGCCATTCCTCGGCCTGGTTAACACGCTGAGCCTGCCCTGGGCACTGAGTATACCCACGCTGGATTACTTCACTTCTTTACCACTTGTGAACCCCACTCAGCTGTCCGCGGCAAAGGTCTCTGCAAGAGATGCTTAAAGCAGGCGAGAAGAGGGCTTGAGGCCCTTGGCCATTCTGCTCACCTCCGAAATAGACTTGACGAATCGGATCCCATCATTGGCTCCTTTGACCTTGGCCAGGCAGGCACAGAAGTAATCCCAGTAGTCCTTCTTGTTGCCCAAGAGGGTGGCCTTTTCCTTCTGATCGAACTGGGCAGGGAAAAGGACAGAGAGAAGAGGTCCAAACCCACTGCTGTTCATTCCACCATTTATATGATAAACAGTAACGACAGCTTCTTAGTTGCCTGGCACTGGGCAAGGCCCTTTATCGGCATTAGTTTTATTTAATAGCAAATGAAAGTGTTCTAATCCCCAATTTACAGATGAGGAAACTGGGGCTAGAAGAGGTTAAGTAACTACCTCAAGGTCAGACAGCTCTAAGATTCAGGAATAATAATAGCCCCCTCCCCCCAAAGATTTATCCCTTAAGGAGAGCTCCGTGCAGAGCTCAGCGGAAGACCACCAAAGTTGCTATCGACAACTCTGATGGATATATAACGACTTATGAGAAAGAAATACAAGTGAAAAGTTCCTGAGGGCGGTGTGAAGAGTGTTAACTATGTCTCAACCGAAGGACATGAGTTAGTGGCATTTGCTACCAGTTACTCAAGCGCCAATAATGTTTTAATATTCATACAATAAATTCAAATGTCAGCTATGTCATTTCAAATCCAAAACCAAAATGAACTGAAAGGGGAAAAAAAAAAAAAAAGTCCATAAATATTTTCACAGCGTGAAACAGAGAACCAGTTGCAAAGGCAGGCGAAGGGGGAGCCCCTCAGCACGCCGGGGGCGTTTCCTCCAGGAGGCTCCACCCTGTAGTCTATGGGGGGATGTGGTGTCGCAAACTATTGGTGTTCAAAACGCGTATCATGCTATAACATTTTGTAGCATTTTTTTCCTGATTATAGAAGATACGCATATACTGTTAGGCAACCTGGATAAAACAAAGAAACAATTATAACACCTAACATGACCACCCTGAGATGACTTCTGTGAACAGTTTGGTCCCTTGCCTTCCTGTGGTAGTATTTTGCCTGTGTTTTCCCACATCTGCAGAGCTCTCTAGATCTGTGCTTCTTGGACCAAGCAGACACAGCATCATGCTGTGGGCAGGTGAAAATAAAACTTCCTGATTTGGTGGGGGAGGGGAGGAGTCAGGGGGGGACCCAAGAATACGTTCCCAGCATGCTCCCAGGTGACACTGATGCTGCATCGTGGACCACACTTCGAGCAGCAAGGCTCTCAGCAAGGCTCTAAAACAGGGGCCTGCAGATGATCTTCGAGGGTCCACACGCTCCTGGAAAGTGTGTGCCTGGTTGTACACACGCACATGCATGTTCGCCTAAGGAGCGACTCCACAGTGCTCACCAGACTCTCAAAAGGGAATGGGACTGCCCTAAAGTTAAGATCCCTGCTATACAGTGACCTTATGACCTGCCTCGAGATGACCTAAATCTCTACAGAATGTTCTGGTTTCCCAAATCATCCTAAGGGGCAACATTCCGATTTCCCAGAGGATGGCACTTGGAGGTCCGAGCTCTCACTGGGGACTGCTCTGACCTTCAGTCTAACTGGGACAACTTAATGGTTCCACTAAGCTTCGGGGACCACATCCTGAATCCTGATGTGTCACCCCAAAGGGAAACGAGACAGCAGCGTGGAAATCGACACATTACAGGAGTCACTTACTTGAAGGAGATACTCGAGTTTGTAAGAAAACTTATGCAAGCTGGTGCTGTCATCTGTGATGGGTTCTCCTGCTTCCTTAAATTCTTTGCTTAGTTCTGTCACCGCATCTTTAAGACAACGAACAGGAAAGTGTAACCAAATGGACACCGACCGCAGAGAGAGAAGCAGAACAACTCCGGGAAGCACGAGGAGCACGTGGTCGACGGCGGCAAAGCACCTTGGGAACGCGAAGCGGTAGGTCAACACCTATGGGAGGTGACGCCAAGTCAGGGCACTTTACCCCAGCCTGCTGGCTGGGCACATTCCCGGGTCATCCCTACAGGCCTGTCATGCAGGCCTCGGAATTTGCAAATATCTGGTCAAAAAATATTGGCCGTGTGGATGACTCATTCAGCGATCCCCTAATCTTCCAGAAAGTGCACCCTTTATTCTGGCCACGGTTCTCATCCTTCACTTTCACCCTACTGCTGAGCACGGGGAAGGCCAGGCTTCAAGATGCCGCAGAACGTGCGAGCAGTAGTAATGGTAATCCCAAGAAGGACGGCGACAGCACCCGCCTCTGCTGACTGAGTGCCTTTGAGGGGCCAGGCCTTGCATGTCTTCCTCATTTAATTCAGCACTGTGAGGCACAGAGTGCTTTATTTCAACAATTCTAAGATGCAATTGATTTTAAGATGATTCCAACTTCAGAGCTGTTAAAATGTGGGGGGAAAAAATACAACTTAGAATTTTTACAGACGAGGAACTCACGGAGAGGTGAAAACACCTGGCCGAAGATCATGGGTGGTGAACGGCAGAGCTGGAACAAACATCTCGGTTTTCTCAAGGGCTCCTTACTCCAGAACCCACCTCTTAACCCCTAAGATAATTTACCTCCTCTTCTGCAGAAAAGGGGAAAATCACCTTTGGTCTTCACTCATAGCCTCTGCCGTGGGACAGAGGAGCTGTCGGCAGCTGGGTTTTGTTTAGAACATGGGAAAATGTCCCCAGCTGAGATTGCTGGAACACGCTGGACAAAACTTCCTTCTTCTCTGACCACTGCCCGTCCCCCAGCACCACGGCGAAGAGCAGGTCTGCCTAGCACCGAAGCGGCGCCCGAGCTGCTCAAGTTGAATCGACACTGACCCCTCAGGCAAAGGTCAGCTAATGGCAAAGACAGGTTCTTGGGACTGATTCTTACAAGTGTCTGTGCCCCAGCTGCGCCCCACTAGAAGTGTCTGTGGGGGGCTGGCAGTGAGAACCGGGGAGCCAGGGGCCGGAAAAGACACAGGCCTTCCTTCTTCACCTTCAGGCTGGGTTTATGCTCACAACCCGATCTAGGAACTCCTGAAATCTTTCTTGAAAGAAAGAGACCTGGATGTGCAATGTCAAGGTTTTGGCTCAAATCTCTGCTAATCCAAAAGCATTACTTCTGAAAAATCTTAGTCTTACAGGAATCACATGTTTGCTTCTGCCAACGACCTTGAGGAGTGGGTGTTACCACCAAACGTACCTCACATGTGAAGGAAGCAGGGTTAAAAGGTGGAGCCGGGAGCTGACCGGAGCCTGCCTGACACCAGAGCCCTCGTAACTGCTGTCACCAGGACGAGCAGGCTGCCCACTGCACAAGGACGCCTCAGTTAAGGACACGCCACTCTCACGGCGGATGCCGTAGATCGGCTGTGCGCTTACTGAGAGGCACCAGCAGACAGGAAGAAAGGGTATTGAGAATGGGGTGCCTTTTAAGAATTCCCACTGAAAAGCTCTGTGAAATGTGGACAGGACATTGAGGTGGCCTTGGGATGTTGGGGATGACCTGACACAGCCAGTACATGGGGTGGAGAAGGGCATGTGAACAAATGCTAACGCCTGTCCTCCTCCCTGGTTCGGGGCTCTACCAGGGTCCCTCTCGTCCGCCAGTGAGGACCTCTGGGTCCCACAGTCACGCTGGAGAACCAGAGACTGCAACACGGGCTAGGCTGCCTGAGCTGTGGAGATGCTGCTCAAGGCCGACGGTGAACTAGGATTTGCAGGGCTTGTCATTTTACGTTGTGTGCGTGTGCGTGTGCGCGTGTGTTTTTAAACATCTAACATTTTAGCTAAACGTAGACTGGTGTGGTTAAGAACAGAGACTCCAGCGCCAGCTCTGTGTGCACACTCAGGCTCTGCCCGACAGGATGTGTGACCACGGGCAAGTCACTGAACATCTTCGTGCCTGTTTCTGCATCTACAAAATGGGAAGAGTGATGGTTCCTACCTCACAGAACCAAATGTGAGGACGCAGTGAGTTATTATCTGTACGATGTGTAGGACAGTGCCCGGCACATATGAAATGTCATGTAATTATTAGCTATTAGAGGCCCAAAGTGCTATATAAATAGGAGATAAGCCTGAGAAAGTAATTATCTCATCGACCGTGACCTTCAGAATAAAGAACTGTATTGCGGCCCCCACTTGCCCGATGGCCCTGGGTAGGAAAGACAGCTGCAAATCATCACTGTGTCTGAGCATTTCAGAACCTGGGCCTTCAGTCTGTCAGGACGGCGTCACTGTGGTCTCTGAGACATGGAGGAAGTGGCGAGCTTCAGACCATGTTGTTACAAATGTGCTGAAGCTCCAAAGAGGCTTACCAGACCAGCCTGGAGGCCTGCAGAGGACGGAAAACTGCCAAAGTTCTGACCTTAGAGCCATCACCTGAAAAGCAGGACTCGGGTCCTGGGCCTCTGCCGCTGCAGAGAAATCCCTCCCTTCCCCGGCTCTGCCCCTCTTCACACGCCCTGTCCCCACCTCGCCTCCCTCCAGCAAGGGCCAATAGGACAGCCTCTCTCACCAGGCACGGCTGCGCCCTGGCAAGGCCTAGAGGCAGCGGGCCGTCTGCCCACCGCCACCAGGTAAGACAGCAAAACAAGAAAGGTGAGTATCTGGTCTTCCGGCTCGGTGGGAAAGCGAACAATACTCCCTGACTGTCCCAACTCCATCAGAGCCGAGGCTCATAACACACCGCCCCCCCACACACACAAACACACACCCCCAGATGCAGACTTGGAAAGGACTATTTGATTTTGTTTACAAAGCGGCTTTACAGTGCTCTGAGGATGGATATCTGAGCCCCAAATATTTCAATACAATGTGTCCTGATGGCTCCGATTACTCCAGGGGTGAACACAGATGAACGGGCTCAATTTCAACTGGCAACAACAAGAGCACAGTCCCAGCTCCCTTGACACAAGCCTGGCCCGCCGTGCAGCCCGGCCGTACCTTGCAAATCGCGGATGATCCTCTGGAGCTGGCCCTCCCCGCTGGTGGCAGCCATGGCGACGGGCTGCAGGCTGCGGGCTGCGGTCTTGGCTGTGCGCCTCCTACCTGGGGCCGGTCAGAAGTCAGACTCCATGGTGGCACCTGCATGGGGGAGGAGGCAGCAATGGAGGGAGCAGTCACAGTCACAGACATAACGTGAAGACAGGAGGGGAATGCTGCTCTGGGCAGAGAGTCGCCCTGTCTGGGCCTTTTCCTGTGACGGGCAGGGCTTGACCCTTCTGTGTGGGCCTTGCTCTGTGGGCACTCCCTAGTTGGCTTCTGACACGCTTCTATTCAGACACGATGACCTGGTTTGGGCCTTAAAAAGAAACCAGGCCAGCCAAACAGCATGGCCTGTCTCTGTGGGTCCCCTCCCACTCGCCCCCGTAGACAGCACTGCATCACTTTCCACTGCTGAAGACGCCTCTGGGGACTCCACACGCCCCGAGGCCAGAACTAGTCCAGCCCCCATCCCTGGCCTGCAAAGCTAGGCCTCAGGTGCCCGCAAGCACCAGCCCCATCTTCCCACGCCCGGCCACACAGCCTCCCCGGGTCTGCCTTCTCCGACAGCTGGTCAGTGACCTCTGGCCGGGAGCGGTGGGAGAGAGGCTAAAGACACGTACCCTCAGGGCTCCCAGACCAAGGAAAGCCTGGCTTGCCTCGTGGGGACCCGGCTCCCCTCCGGCAGAGGTCTGCGGCTCCCGCTGCCCAGAGTCCAGCTCTGCCTGGGTGCGGGGGTGGGGCGGGGGCGGGGGGCGGGGGACACGCCAGGCCCGCCATCAGGGGCCTGCGCAGCCCTCGGAACCAGTCAAGGGACACATCTATTTTAAGTTTGGTTACTGTCCTCTTGTGGCTGGTGAGTCCTGAGTTACCAGCCCCACTTGGGTGGCTGCTGAAGTGATTTAAGGACACAGTAGTGGCCGAAAACCAACACAGATGGGGAGATGTGAGCGCACTGGAGAGAGGCCTGGACGGGCATTTGGACACTGCTGTGTCCTTCTTTTAGAAGCTCTAATTCTTTCCTTAGATGCCCATTGGATATAGTGTTTGCTGGCAAAGCGGGTGGAGGCAAAGCGAGAGGAGGCCAGAGTAGCAGCCACCACTAACGGAGGGCCTACTGTGTGTCCCTGGGAGGTGCTTTACCGTGATTGTTTTCACTTCTCAACAACCCTAGTGGGATAGGTAACGTACAAAGCAGAAACTGGCGTTCGGAGAAGTCATGTAACTTGTCTAAGGCCACTGACCAGCAAGGAGTAGAATTGTGAACTGTACCCTGGTCAGCCTGATTTCAAACTCTGGATTTTCGACTGAGTCACTGTCACCACAGTAAATGACCACCCACTTCCCCCGGCTTCTAGGAACCACCCCAGAACTCCAGCATCTCCCAGACAATGGGCCGCCACCCTGAGTGTTTCTAACGTGCTTTGGCCCTCATGCTCCCACCCCCATCTTCTCCCGACTGTTCCAGGCGTCAAGGCAAGAAGACCATGGAAGAGAACGGGTCCCCGGCCTCGAGCTCCTCCAGATACTTGCACGAGCATTCCAATGTCAGCCTGAGGGGACGAGGGCCTGCTGGAGGGCGGGTGTGCCCAGGCCTATTTTTAACTAACGAGCCAGGGCAGCTGTGACTCAGTGAAGACAAGACCCAAAGAGGGCTTCTCTGGCCTAGGAGGAACGAGACAGGTGCATGCCTGTACCCACTCTCAGTAATTCATGGCACAGAGCCCCAGAGAGTCAGGGGTCCACGGAGACCCCTCCAAAGCCCCCACAGCAAGGGCTGGTACCCTGCCCATGAGACACCAAACTGAGGGTGGAAGTGGTTTACCAGCCAGCCTGCCCACC